ACCCAGAACGCAAGGCATACCACATTTCACAGGTGTGAAAAAAGATCTACAAACACCAGTATCGTCGTTGCACGGAGCTCGACCAACCTTCTCGAGATGACGATCCATCCTGCCGAGTGAAGAGAGGGAGGAGACCATGGGTTGTTAGCGAGCGGGGGTGGTGTTCATGGAAGCAGTGGCGCGGCTGCAGAGAGCGGATAAAAAAATACTCCGTGTATGGATACCAGGATATTGAAGAAAGAATATTTTACCCGTCCGATCTTCGCCCATAAAATACCCCGTTTTCAAAGCTTATAACCTCGTGTGTGGGAAGGATAGCTTCGTTGAACACGCGAAACCATAAACTGCTGCAGCACTTCGAGCAAACACACCAAAGAGGGGGCAGAAGATGTGAGCCGTTAAGGCTTTGTTTTCTGTCCGCAACGTGTGTTCTATTCGACCAGCGCATCACACCCAAACGGGGCCAGGCTGTGGATCGCCAGGCTGTCCACACGCAGCCCTACTCCCGACTATGTAGACTGAGGAGAAGGCGTGCGCGATTTAGGTCGAAGCACGAGGCGTGTGGGAGGAGAGAGAGAGAGAGAGACAGGGACAGAGAGAGAGAGAAGATCGAATGCTACTACTCTCCCCACCTGTGCGCAAGGTGGCCCCCAGCGAACATTGCTACAACACACCTCCGGTGCTCCCCAGCACGGCGGAGCACATCTTGTGCGCAGCTTCGTCCGACTCCACTTCCTGCCAACGCACATGTGGAGCAGCGGCACACAGGTTGTCGTAAACGTCATCGGGTTGCCATCGAGAAATTCCGTCAGCGATCGAGTTGAGCACGCCCGGCACATGCGAAGATTGAAATAACCAACCGCTGGACACTTCAATCGCCCCCAACATGCGCATGAGCGCGCTCGATCGAGGCTCCTTGCCCCCTCGACACCGCTGAATCCATGCCACACTGTCCTCATTGTCGCCCCTCAATTGGACGCGATTCCCCGCTTCCGGCAACCTGTGCTCCTGCTGCGGCAGCAGCACGACCGCACCTGCTACATGCCAAGAAGCTCTAACACGTTGATGCTAATGTCATCAACACCCTCCACCGACTTGCTAGAGCCCACGAAACGAGACTGCTCGTCGCTCGTGAGCGCCCGCCGAAAGTATGCTCCAGTTTCGGCGCAAAAACCGCCAAAGGCGGATTTGGAGGCATCCGTGAAAATCGCAAGCCGAGGGGGGCGCAACACCAAGTTGTACATCGGCGAACACAAGTGCCCCCCACGGGATGCGAGACCTCGCTCCACCAACCACCGCCAAAACTCCAATCAGTGCTGCACGACAGAAAAAAAAAAAGTAAGCGGAGGAACAAAAAATATCGTTTTACACAGATTAGCAGCGCGACTGGCATACATCCACCGAAGGCTAAAGGCTTACAGCAGTAGACTATGCCAGTAGCTATCTAGGGAACCAAGATTTGGCAAATTCCGTCCACTGTAGGCTTCAAACTTGTCGGCGCAACACGCAGCCCCTCCCCTAAAAAAATGTGAGACTCGTATCTACGCGGCGCAACCACCCTGCTGTGCACCCGCCAAAGCGACCAAGCACAAGAACGCGCCCACTACAACATCAATCGCCACAAAAATTTGAGGGAAGATGGACTGAGTACCATAGAGTAAATTTCAGAAGAGTTGAACTTGACTGATCGCGGGAATCAAGAGATAGACACAGATGAAGTTGAAAACTTGCATTTACATACAGGCACCATGCTTATTTTCTGCCACGCCGCCGGCAACACCGAGCATTGGTAATGTTAGCTGCTGATCTTGCGGTTGTACAGCACTTGGAATTGTGCTGCAAGACGTACTACACGTGGAGTACTGTTGAATGGCGTCAGCTACATTTGAACCGAAATTGCTTTTGGGGTACCCCCCTCTCCTGCTGCGGTGTTGCACCGCACACACTTGTGCCTGTTGACTCGGGGCCCTCACCCAGCAGTACAACTCTCCAGAATCCCGGGGAAAAAAACTATGAGAGGATGGAGTAGCGACAGTATCACGGCAGCTACAATAACGGGGAACTTGATCACTGATGACCTTGTGCTATCTGACGTCGCACGCAGACAGGCACGGCCGGCAATATGTACACACTAGACTATAGACTATTTAGGCTACTGTAGTTGTTGAAGTGTTTTGTCTCAAAGCATACAAATACATTGTACGCACTGA